CAGCAACGCCCTCTTCTGACCATTTGTAATACACACTGTATACTCATTAGCTCTGGCCTGCAGGTAAGCAGCCAGTAGTAACACATCCACTGCGCTTGCTCCATTCACTGAAACATTGTTGCAAACAAATCTTGTGGCCGCGGCCCAAAACCGCACGTGCGCGTATGGGATTCACTCGCAAGTGTCTCAATGAAGAGTTGAATGTTACTCCAGTTGTCTTAGTCACGCCCTGTCTCCAAGTGCTTTATGTTGCTAGGTACAAAAAACAAGCGGAGCTCATGCAAATCGCTACGCACTCTTAATATTACAATTATTTTTCAGCGCACATAAAACAGAGAGAGGTGGTTTGCCGCCTGCATACACGGCGTATATGCTAACATATTGTGGAGAAATCGTTTGAGGCTTGTAAGCCCAGTAGGATATTACAACACCCGCCGGACGTCCAACTTCACCCTCAAGTAGGCTATTACAAAGCAGTCGCCCATTATCTCAAGACCTGCGGAAACCTAGATAAGGTAATACAGGAATCTCGTTTTCCGTTTTAAACAAGATGCTATACATGTAGGCTACATAGAATCCTGCCTGGCTTGGACATTTTGCTATCAAACGGCATTCAAACTGATCTCAAGAGGTTTTTTGGAAAATTTCCAGACTTTGTTACGAGTCATTCTTTTTGTGGCACGAGTCGAGTCTAATCACTGTGACGTAGTGACTCGAGTCGAGTCAATTTAAACGTAGCAACTCGAGTCCAGTCATTAGGCCAAAAATGCGAGTCAAGTATTTAGCGCTAGTCAATTCGAGTCTCCAAATATGAACACAACACGCTAAACAGATACAAGAGAGAAAGTCATTTTTTTGCAGTTTCAAATTGACCTCTAGGTTTCTACATGTGTTCACACCATATCTTACTCCTGATGATAATAACAGCACACGAACATAATGTTATGTCCAGTGCAAATACTTTTCTTTGCAAAGAAGTTTGCTTTTATTTTGGGACGACTTAGGCCCTATTAACTTTCGTTCGACTCGGGTCTTCTGATGAGGGACTCAAGTCGACTTAAGTCGGACTCGAGTCATTACTACTGTTCTTCCGTCTAGCAGGCTTTAAATATACTGCCATTGCTTGATACAATTACCACCGTTTTTTCAGTGTTAACACCATTGTAACCCGGCCTAACACTTAAATACGATCCCAGAAGTTAATCTTAGTCATCGAATGGATTTCTTCATAACGTACTTTTGTTATTCATCCAGCCATGCACAACTGTCAACGGTATATTTTCTTGCCGTTGTAGGGATGCCTGACGAAGGCCCATCCCCTCCCTGGTTCAATGTCTTCAGGTGCATCCTTCTCAGCTTGACGACGGTCCTCATCATCGGTGGGAACTCCTTCTGCCTCCTCATTCTCCGGCGCGTGCACGGCATCCACGAAGTCACCCGGCTGTTCATGGCCTCCCTGGCCCTCTCGGATCTCCTCACGGGCGTGTTTGTTGCCCTGCCCATGGTCGTCTCCACGGCGATGGACCGCTGGCCGTACGGCGACACCTTTTGCGGCATCTACGGGGTGGGCAAGTACGTGTGCTACTACACGGGTCTCATATCGCTGATAGCGGTAACCGTAGAGCGGTACATCATGGTGGTGTGTCCACTACGCTACCATACCATCGTGACGCTTTTTCGCGCCCGAGTCGCTGTCGCAGTCATATGGCTGCTCGCCTTGGCCATCACCATGTTCTTCGGGGGGAGCGTCAATTTTGTCGGGGATGTCGACGAAGACGAAGATAACTGCAGCCTGGACACGGAAAAGGGGGATTTCTGGCACTACCCGCTCAAATACATGGCCGTGGTCTTCATCCTGGTCCCGGTAGTAACCGTGCTGGTTCTGTACACCCACATCCTGCTGATTGCCCGTCGCCAGATATGCCGGATCGCAGCAGTCGCCCCGCTGGGACCCATGTCCGAGGAGGAGCGTGCCGCGGTCCGAACCCGGCAAGCCAACCGCAGGGCGGCCGGCACGTTCCTCATTGTCACGATGGCTTTCGCTGTGGCCTGGATGCCCTCTGCCGTGCGCAAACTCAACAAGCTGGCCACGGGCATCTCGGACACCATGTATACCGAGTTCCTGGCCCGCTTCTGCATGCTGTCCAACAGCTGGCTCAACATTTTCGTTTACTACATCCGCAACGAGTCCTTCAGACAGACGGCTAGACGCTACATTGCCGCCATAAGAGGTACAAGAACCTCCGATGCCATTGAGATTAGTTACTAAATGTAGAAAGACGACAGGACAGAATATCGATCCGCTTAGACTGTGCTCACGGGCATTAGGTTCGTGCCGTTCGTTCAACTGCATTTACAATGTAGGTTGCACATCAACCTCGCACAAAGTTAACGTTGATTTCCACACCATCAGAACTGTTTAAGTTCAGGACAAACTAAAGCACATTGGACTCAGAATTTGTTAAAACATTCAGCTGCACAGCCTACTAAGCCACGGAAAGTGCCCTCTATCCAGGGTATTCCTGTTGCTATGGCTGCTTATAAGTGTTCCAGTCAATTGAAAAGCTATTTTCTTTTTCCCCCTAAATTCCAATTTCTACCATATATAGTGAGTCGGATGATTATCAGAAGTTTCTTAAAATTCGGTACAGACTGTCCTAGCGTTCAAAACTATTAAATTCCTTTGGGGCCCTTTACTTCATTACAGAATATATCACAGGGCATCCCCTGTGCCAACTTTTGTTATTGTAATATTATATAGTTCATAGTCCATAGTTATTTTATTAACCTCAAAGGAAATAACATGTCCGCGTACAAGCCTCATTAAAAACATAAAACAGTTAGCATTCTAAAACGTACCTACACTGAATCTAATTAAAATACAGAATGAATGCATTACAAATCATTAAAAATCATCAATACCACATCTTATCAGAGTTCTTCTTTTCCCCTCGTATGTATCAAATTGCATGCAGCAATGGCCCTAGGGACGAAAGAATATTTATAGTGTGGCGTGGAATTCATTCGACGTCGTTGCAATTCATTTTTAATTTGCAATACCTTCGAACTTTTTTTTCATCAGATATCTTGCAGTTATTTTGTCAGCAGTTTTACAACAACATCCCATTTTTCGGGAAAGGTTGCCTAAAATGTGAAAACTTTCCAAAGACAGGTGCTGAGTGCGGTGGTGGCTATGGATTGGAGCTTAAGCTATAATTGACATTGAAAAAGTCCTTGTTTAATAGCTGGACTTAAAGCATAAAATCTCCATCTACAACAGGTAAGGTCTTACATCGTGTACTAAACGCTACCCGTCTAAGTGTCTGTAAATTTCCACAACTGTTACTCCAAAACCAGACAAGGACTACGAAGTCCCCACACTAAAAAATCCAACAAAGGAAGCACAGTGCGATAACAATGGACGCTACTTGTTAGTCCACTGCGTTTCTTTTGTTAGATTTTCGTAGTTGCCAACTTGATAACGTTGACGAATGCATTCATTTCAGCACAGGAAATCTGTCTCTTTTTCCAGTGTGCCCAGAATTATTATTATCTACGATTCTACAATGTACCTTTGTAGTTGATCGATCATGTAGTTTTCAAAAGGAAATTTTTGTCATTTGTGTATCGCCAAACCACCCAGTTATTTAACCAAGTTGCCGTAAGTAAAAATTCTTGGTTCTCGGTGAGCCCAGTTAGAGCATCGCTTTATATTAAAGCATATACATGTGATTTGAGGGTTATTCCTGCCGTTTGTGAAATGTATATCTTCTTAGAATTTTCATTGCACTATATCCAAATTATGTAATCATTACACTTTATCATTTAGATTACATTTCGGATGTAAAATTTTAAATTTAATTTCGTCATGTGGTCATTATTTCACAGCTTTAAAACTTTTGCGACACAACCTCATTGCTTTTGTTACAAGTTCTGCAAAACGCCTTTGATTAAAGGGACGGTCTGTGTAGTTTTGTAAATTGTGCCTGAAACTGTGCATTTGTGTAGATTTGAAATGTTTGCATATTTGTTGAACTTAATATTGATATTAATATTAATAGTGGATAGCAATGCATGAGGAGTTTAACGGTAACTGTTCACTCAGTTATGGGCTATAAATTTATATATTTATATTTGGCTATAGTTAATCAATGCAAATTGGGTATATTTCGCCCCACCAAGTAACCCACTGTTATTTGTTCATTGCTTTTGAAATGAAATTTCATCATCCCTTGCTACAAAAGTTCCCGATTTTTTCTCTAAATGTGATGTACTTGTACCTGGTGAAATTTGAATGCTGACAGACTGCTGATGAATTTTGAATTTTAAAATAAAAATAAATAGCTTAAACTTTACACATTAACCCAGCGGCGTATCCAGCTTTTGGTGTAGGGCGGGGGAGAGCTAATTCAAAATCGGATGCGGTTTTGGGCTCATTCAACATGATGTTGGGGAGGAAAAACTCAAAAGCCTTACAAACGGTCCCAACATCCTTGCTTTTATTTGCTGGTGTTATTTTCTCAGGGTTTTGGTGCTAATTTTACTTTCTTTCCTACTCACCTATGAAGAGTTCTTTAAAAAATAATCGTCAGGGGGCGCGACAAGTCCCCCTCGATCCCCATACTCCACTGCATTAACCCTGTCAAGTTTGCCGATTGGTTTCTGATTTTTCCGACCTCAGTTTCATCAAGGTCTGGCAAACGTTTCTCTATTCTTCCTCCTTCCCCTCACGAAGCATATCGGGCCCAGTAACAACAGCAAGTAAGCCACGTAAACTGCTTTCAACAACGAGTTGTTGAAATATAATGTCGCCCACGTGCCTGCAGCATTTTGACCAATCCCTGAGAGGCGAGTACAAGTGAGTTTGCGATCAATCGGTAAACGACGCGGCCAAGCAATTGAGCCCTGGCACTTGCTGACGACATCTTATCAGGCATCCAACGTAATAGGTACTTTACAATGTGCACAACGTATATTTAGCAGTACTGTAATGGGCACGTACTGCATGAAGACACGGTCGATGTGTTTGAGCTTCTACCTGGAACCAGCAATTACTCTTTATGAAAGGTTCTTAATTTGCGACATACCACGCTATGCATGCACGCAAACAAGTTTTAGAATAATACATAGACAGCCAATGATTTCTGATTGAAAAGCCTACAGGAGGCCTACCGTGCAATGAGATCTTAAAATTAAAGAGAAATTCCTCGTATGGGTGAAATTAAATTAATTCGCACTCGAATTGGTTTTGCTCTGGAAGTCACATGCATTTCTCCCATCCCACCCCTACACACTCTTTCCAGAAGTGATTGACACACACTGTCACCAGAAGTGATTGACGTCCTTTGCTTTGTGACAAGAACTGCATTCTTCGAAGTACAAAAAACAGGTTTGAGAAACTCAAACGTCAGGTGCTACGCAGCCCTTCCATATTTCTTTGAGAAACTCAATATGAGTAAAATAGAACGGCACTATCGTTTATACATTGCTGTTTTTGTACAATACCCCACTGTTGTATAATTGCGCCAAATGCCGCGCTGCCTAATAATGCACCTTTCCCCGCTATCAAAACGGAGTTCACTTTCCTTTGCAATTATTACAGAATTTCTAGAAACACTTCCTTTGAAAACAAAAACCTCAGTTGTTGGGTCTTCCTACAAATATACTCCTGTAGCAGAGCTGGTATCAGCGTTCACGATGGAGTTATATTGCCCCTTCAATTAACGCGGCACTTCCGACCCACGTCCGCATTTTCTATAAAAAGTTTTTAACACCAATAGCTCAAAGCTGTAATGTAGCTATCAGATTGACTCTTCATGCACATTACTTAGCTGTTTAAGTCTTTTAAGAGTCCTCGTAACCACAGTTTTTCCAGGGAAATATCACGCCTTAGCTATCCATGACCTCTCTGAGGGAACAATGTACAAAATCACCCAACAACCCAGTCACTGAAAGTTGGCTTCATTTGGTTTAGACCGCGGCATCGGGGGAAAATAGAACGATAAAAACATACCTAAAAAGTGGACATCCTTCGCTTGCTGCAGCCATGTTTGCCATTGCAATCCTTGCTCTCTAAACAAACTACTGCTTTACAACACCCACCAGGGTTCACCGAATCTAAACACTTGGTAAATTACGACGGCATAAATCACAAATCGTGGTTGTTGTTTGGTTTTAACAGGCGAATGTTCCGGCTTTAGGGTCGCGGGTGAATTGGTGTCATTTCCCCCATTGGACTTTCACTGGTGTTGTGTGAGTGACCTTTAAGCTTCAAGCGGGCATGTTGGCACGATAAAGAGTTTATGACCCCAGATAGACGTGCTTGGAAGTTAGGAGCTTTTACTTAGCTCGATTCTTCCGGGTTTCAATTTTAAGTTTATTTGCTGTAGGCCTATCTGTATGTGGCTACAGTGCAGTTTATACACTCTAGACGTGCATTTTGTAGCAGGTCTTTATTCACTGAGAACGAGCCGAATTGAAACTGTGATGGAAGGTGTCGGCATAAGGAATGAATTTGTGTTCCATAGATTTAAAAGGTCCCTTCGAAAACCATTGCATTGTTGATTAGTCCGAGCATGTCTGTGCACGTTCAGTGCGCGAATTACCAAGGTAAAGAAAACGTGCGACGGCAAAATATCATAAATTCGGATAATTTAAGAACATACGTAGTAGTAAAACGGAGTTTTCTACCTTAAGTCGACATCACACATTTGCTCATAGATATGCAAATTTGCTTTCTTAGCAAATTAAAAAGTTACAACAATGTTTTTAAATCTGTTCTCAAAAATTGAAAAACCAGGCAAAAAGAGACACATTAAATAAGGAACGTTGCAATAACTAGATTGAATGGAGGCATTGCCTGGCCCGAGTCTTTTGAGTCTATTTCAGGATTTCGCACGACAGAATTGATGCACCTACCGTGGAATCATTCGTGCACTATTAACTGGTTAAACCGAAGGACCGATAAAAGGACGAAGAGATTGGAAAAGGGAAATCATTCGTTTCATTCATAGAAGGGCACGTATACGGGTAAAAAAGAACCCCCCCCCAAAAAAAAAATCAGGTTTCACTTGTCACATGGAAGGTTCTTTTTAGGGGATTTTGTTAACACCCATTTAGACCTGTCCGATTTTACTGTAAGGGCCTCACGATTCACTTGAGGTAGAAAATGTCCCTTTTTATAGAACAGAAATAGCGGGTGCCTCGCTTTTAGTTCATATATTCTGCAAACGTGAAACCAATTTGTTTACCTGCATTATCCCAACCAGTCCCGGTACACGATATATCTTAAAAACGATATATCGGGCGGAAAATGACTCATAATTGCATATTGTCACGTGTTTGCATGCGTGGACCCTCATAGGCTTGCTGTATGCACTCAGAAGATTCAGTCATGTTCTCCCGTCATAAATTTGTCGTTGAAGTCCAGTCCAACGAATTTCGTCCCAGTAGAGATGTAACTTCCGGGGATGTCTTTATTGATTGACTGCAGCCGATTGATTGCAACATTTCAATTTCTTTTCCTGGAGTGTTGTTTATAATTCTTCACTGGGCAAATTAATCATACAAATCAGTATTTTTTTCCAATCATTCTCGCTATAAAATCTATAAAGTGGAAGGAATTATTTTGTGCACCTGGACTGCTGATTGCCTCATTATATGAGCACGTCAAACTTTCGCCACGGCAATTGATAATGAATTGGTTGTGGTTTTCGCTCCAATCGACAGGATAAATGGGAATTACTTCCTCACAGGAAATGGCTGCTAAGAGGTTTAGCAGAGAAAATACTAACAGGAAAAACGAGAAAATACTTTCCCCCCCAAAAGGTAGAAAAAATGGAACTCGGTGTTCCCATGGATCTGCTAGAGTGATGAAGATCCTGCAACAAAGTTAAATACAGATGAACGTGAATGGACAGAAGAAAATTGACACGTCCTAGGTGGAGTTTTTTAAATTGAAATCTTGCCTAATATCCTGCAAGCAGTGAGACCGAGGGGTACCCCCAACCTGTCCAATCGCTATACGCACTCTAGACTATTGTTACCTAACACATCCCCCCCCCAAGTGTCTGAATAGAATTCCTCAGATTCCAATGAAACAATAACCAACACAAAGCAGTTGGGGTCATCTCCGTCTCATACCTCCTCCATGTGTAGCGTAAACAGCAACCGTTCAAACCGTCTTATTATACAAATCTGGTCTTATTGTTATAACAGCAACGCCAAGTAACGGTATACGAGGCACGAAATGGGACAGAGAGGTACCCCCCCCAACAAGTCCAATCCCTATACACACTCCAGCCTGTTGTCACTTAACACGTCCCCCTTGGTGTCTGCAAAAGGATTCCTGAGATACCAGTATAACAACGGCCAACACAAAGGCGGAGGTCTCTCTGTCAGGTAGTTTGCTTCATGTGAGCAACACGGAGCGGAACAAGATCAGCCCGTTACTTCTTGAATTGCTACTGAAATTTCGCAACCCTCATTGTCAAGTCTTGAAGCAAATCCATCGTCCCGATCGAGTCCGCCTCTCACCTTTCGTCATCTTTAATTACCCTCTTTGGCCTGTTTCGTCTCACTGAATTTCTCAACTCTCAGATGTAGAAAAGGTATTACCAGCCTTGAGGAAGATCAAAACGCATTTGTTCGCTTCTTCCCAGAGCCACACGAATTACAAAAAGAGAAAATAATATCATTCCAACATTTTCATTCCAAAAAGCGCTTGACCGTTTTATTTTGTGGCCAGTGCGGTTCATGACAAACTTATTTGTCATGGCAGGTAATTTTAATTTGTTTCAAATTGAACAAAATGCCTGACATGAAGACGTAAAATATTTTCGTTCCCAAAATGGAAGTCATATTTGGGGGCCCCTTTTCTGGAGAGGCCGCTCAATTAGCCTATTTGAAGCATACATGTTTATGGCGGACCTACACAATAGGAGGGCCCTATTTGATTTTGGTAAAATCTTTTGTAATTGTTCAGGATATCTAGACCTTTTCACCCATAAGAATAGATATTGTGCTAAATGTTAACAGAACCACCTCGTGTGGACCACCTGGGCCGCGCCACGGTGATCGCATAGATTCCTATGGGCAGCTTAAGCCACGTACAAGAGCACGTACGAACGCTGCATGGTGACTAGTTTATCTTGAATTAAGTAGATGAACAGTAGATGACCACTATTCTATGACTTTACTATCACAATACACTGCGGTCCACACAGTTGTGACGTCACTGGAAAAATATACCCAGCAAGAAATGAGACCGAGGTGTACCCCCCCCCAACATTTCCAATCCCTATACACATTCCAGACTATTGTTACTTAACACATCCCCCCCCCAGATGTCTGAAAGGAATTCCCCATATTCCTGCGAGACAATGACCAACACAAAGCAGGGGGGGTGTTCTCTCCGTCTCATACCTTGCTGCATATGTGGAAAAAGGTCTCCGTCTGGGCCGTGTCCCACGGACTTCCAGAGCTACGATCAGGTCTATTGTTTACGTGTCTCCGCATATTTCCGATGGAGTGAAAACCTGGACCTAGCTGTGGACAACTTGAATGTTAAATAGCGCCATCATCCAAAGTGTCCGCCATACGTCGAATAGGGTAATGGGTTCGGTCACAGATCAACTTACTGACCAAGTGGGCTATTACTATATTGTTTTCCTTTCCCAATTTCTGAGTGGGGGGTACACGGGAGCAAAGCCAGTGGGAGCAATGTGCCCCCCCCCACATGGCTGGAATTCAAAAGGAACACCCCTTCTGAACCAGTTAACGTCCAGGCACGAAGCCGATTAATTGAAATTTAATTTTCTGAGCCCCACTTCACAGAGCTGTTTAGTAGTTAGCAGAAAAAAGTCTTGTTTTCTGTAGCAGAGGAGTTTGCTTATCGTAAACACTTTTTCATGGCGTCACTCAGCGAAGTTGTACTTACACATTCACGCACACAGAGATCCCCATTTTTAAATATAGCTAGGTTAAGCAGACCTTTCCAGCGAGGTAAGCGTGCCTTCTGCTGTATAAACTTACTGTTCACAGTCTTCATGAAATACACTGAGCCTCTATTAGCATAAAATCGTGTGCTGAACAGTGCTGTGAAACTGGGCTCTGGTTTCAATGCATTATTCCTTTTAGTTCAGGTTTATGCTACGGACACTGGGAAGATGATAATAAATTGGGGAAAGTTTTGTAGCACAACACTGAGTGGTTTTAATCAACTAGTTTAGCCATTGCGTTTTGCCTGTTTCATTGAGTTTATATTCCTTGGTCTACTCCCTCCAATAAGCCGATCGGTATGGGTAGCGAAGAGGTGCAGAGTCACAGAAATTCGTCACACAAATTGCAAAACTCTGACTTCAACCAGTCATTTTCAATAACAGTGCACTTGGTCATGTGTGCCAGCAAAGACTTGTGTGAGCTATGGTGCCATGACTCATACCGTAATCTGAAAGATGATGAGCTACCCTTAATTGCGGTAGAAAACTACATGAAAATTGCCAAACAATCTTAATATAGGGAATCGTATCTAAGTATTAAAGGGCGCCCTCATCCTTCCAATACGGAGGTAATTAACATAAAGTGGATACTTTTGAGGGTTCCCGGGCACGCGGTGTGAAGGTGATCTCTTTGCTTTTGGGTCTCGAATGTAGAACTGTACTCTCAGCATTTTGCTTCTATTAATTTGCAGGGAGCATGGCTTCGGCTATGCCCCTAAGTGTGGGAGAGAGTCAATGCTAGGAACCCCTAGTAAATACTTATTGTATAAATACTTCACACGATCTTCTGTGTGAGAAATTGTACGATTTACGGGGTCCAGTGTGGTAACTGCTTTCTGTTCTACAACGTGCCACACTGTATTGGTTAGCTAGCAGTGTTAACCTTTGACCATTCATTATATTGTTTTTTACGGTGCCGTATAGCCATTACACTACACCAACTGTTTTCAAATTTAATAATTTGTAGTTCTGGAGTTCGACATCATTTATTGTTCACGTGTTCTCCAAGTGCTTGTCCGCTATTAGGGGACCGTTCCTCCTTCCTCCCACCGTCCAACTGACGTGGAGCTGGTCCGCTACATGCGGCATATTGTCCCCTTAATTCAAATTACCTTGTTTGATACGTACTGCAAAGCAGCGAAATCGGGAGGCAAAATGGTCTCAATGCAATTACGGGAATGTGCTTATAAATGGAAGATCGAAATGGTGAGCGCGGATGACGAAAGAATTTACGACTGTGTCACATGCGTATCCCACCATCTACCACAATTATTATCATATTGTCCT